CCCTGATTCAGCCGGTTCGAAAATAAAACGGCTGACTCAATCCGAATGTGCCGATGGCCTCCCCCTCCCCCCATCACCACATCGCTCCCACATCTGTCTTCTCCAAAAAACCGAAACCAACACCGACCATCCCCCCTTCCACCACCACTTCTTCGTGTAGGGTCTGATTTCCAAACATTCAAGACGATAAATCCAAAAAAATGTTTGTGTACGAGCCGCGGAAAAACACACCGCGGTCACGAGCCGGCCGCTGCGGCGCCCCACCCAACCCGGGGCCCCCCGCTTATTCAAACTTATCGCGCCTTTTCAAACACGCTAGCCGTTCACCCCCCAAACTTATTGAAAAAGGGCATCGTGGGGAAGTGACCGCTTCCCCGGAATTTTCACTGAGTTTCGTCTGCAAATTTTTGATTCCATTCGCGGATTCCTCCAATTTCTCGGTCTCTGCACCCGTGGACAATAAACGCTATCGGTGCCCTCGAAAAAAGGCCGTAAAATGCAAAATAGCCCTCTCGACGACTCGGTTGTGGGGAACACATATCAAGGGCACCGAATAGGACTATTTACAGTTATTTAGCTTTTCTTGGGGTGTTTATTAGAATCGTCGTTTTGATGGAAAAGTCGTTATTATATGTAAAGATAGTGTTTGTGTTTTTCTGTGTGTCTGTCCATCTGCATGTAGCATCCGTAAGTATGTCCTAAAAATATCTTAATAAGGCAAAAGTTTGAGGGCATGTTTCATACGTCATTAGGTGCGTCTTGGTCTTTAGCTGAATACCAAATTTCTGAAAATTACGATTTTCCAGATTAAAATTAGGGTTTCATGAACATATTGCTAACTCGCTTTGTTTGGAAGTAATTAGCACCAAAAGTGGTGCGCTGCATGCGGACGCAGAAGAGATATTTTTCAACCCTAAAACCCCTGTTTATCAAAACCGAAAACCACACGTAAATGGCCTATTAGTCGATCACTTCCCCCACCGGCGCACCAAGGCGCGCGCAGCGGAGCTGGTGCGGTGCCCAGGCGCGGGAGGCATGTTTGTGTGTGCTAGATATTAGTGAAGTAGTGGCATGGCGCGGAATAGGCTTATCCGTCCCCCCAACCCTACCCGCAGCCCTGCAGGACGTCCAACTAGCCTCGTGTGACGCGGTGCTTCTTCCCGTTGCTGGGGGCACACGTCCCTTACGGCCATTAGGACAATGGCGTATATGGGGGAACTTTAAGGGGGTGGAATACTGTGTTTCTTTCTGTTTCTTTTCTTCCCTGCTCATGGTGTCTCTTTCTGGAACCTGTCCTTTATGGACAACGACCTCCTCTTGGGGGTACATACTAATTATTGCTCTTCTCACCGTACCCGAATACCTTTATGGATCGATCTTTGGGGTAGTTATGGTATATGACTTTTGCCAGCGATTTTTACCTAGAATAGTCGTTTATTACCGCCATAAATTAAAAAAAGACCGTGATAATATATATCCTTGATTAGAGTATCAAAAGTTTTAATATTAACAAGAGCTTGGCATTTTAAGACAATAGAGTCCCAAAAGTCTTGTAATATAGTTGCTTTAAAGGAGCATCCGTATGAAACAGATCTTTACATACCTTTACAAATGTTGAGATTTTTGCATATGACGGGATGCCAATAAAAGTTTTTTTATGAAATCTAACTATTCTCCGGGACGGCATCATCTAATAAAAGAATGACCCGGATTCCCAACAAATTCTTAGCCCCCCCCCCCCCCCCCTTCCCTTGTCCGCCCCTTTTAAACGATGTTTACGGGAAGTCGGCAACCCCAGAACCCAGCGACGGGGTGCGACACCCTATATCTGTGTCTTTCCTTCGTTCTTCCTCCTCGTTCCCGCCGCCCGCCCGACCATATCCGGCGACATCTCTCGGGGTTGGGTTGGATGGGTCGAAAGAGCCGAGACACCAATCCGTACCCTAGATTGTCCCCTTGGAATGCTCCCTTTCTCATCGAGATCTGCCGATATTCGACGCTTATCCCACCGCTCGCCCATCCCCACCCGGGGGGCTCTTCGTTGTCTTTCCGGAATTTATGACGGCTGCCGATAGGTTTTGTTGTTTAGTCCTTAAATTCCAGCAGTTTGGGCATTAATAAGAGTGACCTTTGCGCTTTACTAAGGGTACGCTTTAATTTTGGGCCTATTTCTTTCTAGGGGCATTTTAATACCCTTAGTTTGTCAGCAAATTACGATAAATCGACCCTATTCCGAAAAAGCCCTATCCCAAAAAGGTAACAGGAAAATTCAGGTCTGGCTGAAAAAGTTTTCTTATGCGATTTTTTGCGTTTGCCTTTTCAACAGGATGCCCACAACCCAAATTCTCATACCAGTCCATTTAAACTCATCGTTTTATAGTTTTCTGTATTCCAAAACCCACGTTCCCTCTGGCTGATCAAAAACATATCTAGTCCCCTCTAATCCCTAAAAAATGCATCGATCCATTCCCGATTAGTCACCGAATTCTAGAAATCCCTCTAACAAAATCGACCCCCAACCCCTGCCCTCTTTCCACCCCAACATTCGCCCATTCAATCGGCAATATCGCCAGGAATCAGATGATGACTTAACGGCACCGGAAAACAGCCCCAACCCTCCACACACCGCCACAGGGCGAAAACATGCTTTTCCAACCATCGGGGCTCCCGCTCTCCGCCAATCATTGAAGCTCACCCCCTCCATGTCCAACCCAATAACTGATCAATGCCCTAAAATGGAGGAATAGGAAGAATCCCAAGCATTTCGGCTTGTGTGCTTGTTGACTTTTCGGGGCGCGGGCCACCCAATCGATGGCCGGGCGGTATGATTCGACCACAATCGCACCGAATGGAATTCGTCCCGTTATCACCCAAGGGGGGTCTCTGCCCCGGGTTGGGTGCTTTTACAAGAATTGTTGCCGTTTTTTACGAGTGATAAAGAGGAAATCCTAGGGGGTGGTTGGGAGGGGGCGGTGGTGCTGGATTGGGAGGGGAGGGGATGACTAAAGGCCGTTCGGAGATAAGGTGTTCCATTAACCAGCAAATCGATTTTGGGGTTCTTTGACCTTGTAACTTGTTTCGGGTATGCAATACGGGGGCTCCTGAGGTACCGAGACCTTTCTTTGTTGTATCTAGTTTGATTTGAATCGTTATTTTTTTATAATACTGTATTATTTCGGTTCTCCCAGGTTGGTCAGCCAGGCAGGCCTTTTAGAAAAGTGTTTCTTTCAAAATGTATCCTTTTGTTCTTCGAGAATATGCTTTCCCGGGTTCAAAAAATTAAGGAAGGATGGGATGCGGTATTTGACGGAAATCTAGCGAGTGTATTTTCAGCTTTTCTAGCAATAGTAGAACATAGACTCTAAAAACGTTTGTTTTGACGAATGTTCCTGTTCGTATGTCTAGTAATGCTCTATATGTCGGTCAATTTTTGAATCATGACGGCCCAACGTCCGCCTAACTTTTTGCCATTTGTTGGCTAGTCAGCTATTTTGTTTATGGAATGCACTGCGCATGCAAAAGTGCAAAAGGTGCCACATCAACTACCCGAAATTCCAGTGAAGCTTATACCCCATCCTTCCCAACCCCTTTAAAAACCGGTCCCCACCATGGTGCCAGCCGTGGGCCCAAATGGCAACCATCCCCCCTTAAAGAGCGGATCGTTCCCGCGGGTTTTCGGGTCTGACCTCCCCGGTGTGGCTGCGCTGTTTGGGCGCGAAGAAGAAGAAGGAGAAGGGGCAAGGAGGGGGTGAAGGGGGGCACACCGACCAGGGGGTGAATGCAGGCGATTCGGGTGGGGGTAGTGGAGGTGGTGGTGGTGGAGGGACCTTGACTCGCACGTGTCAATAGGAGGAGGAAGGACTGAGTCTTGTCCCGGAACCGCCCCAGCCAACCACCCGAGACTCCTTGTCCGAGTTCTGGCTCTGCTCAGCCCCTGGATCTATGTGGCCTTATCAAGGAAAGCATGACGAAGCTCTTCAACGATGACTTCCATTTTTTGCGCTTTGCTGTATATTTATTCTACTTGCTTTGCACTCTTGACTTTTAGATATATTAAAAGTAGACACCTTTTTTACTAAAATTTTTAGCATACTAAAAACTACTTTTGTCCTTTAAAAAAATACGCTGACCTGTCACTTTAGACCAGCCTGAGGTCAATATTGACTTGAACCCTGGCGCTTATGTCTCTACTTAGACGCCAACCATAAGCTCCTGCTTCTCTCTCTCTCTCTCTCTCTCTCTCTCTCTCTCTCTCTCTCTTTCTTTCTCTCTCTCATAGCCACTGGCCGTTGCTCAACACCTCCAATGCGCAAAAACCATTTTAAAATTCTTTAACGTCCGCCTAACTTTTTCTTTCATATTTCAATATTCACGCATGTTTATCCACGAACCATCGATAACCCTTTTCAAAAACTTATTTTCACGGTTTTATGCTCTAAAAATGCCCTCAGGCTTATTTTCCACTTCCTTTCAACATCCAAAACCCCAAGCTCGACAGAACGCGTTCCACAATATTTTGTCTTTCTCCCCCGAATCAAAAAGCCTCCCATCCGGATCGACCCCACAACATCATCTCGCCTTTCCTTTATCTCCATTTTTCGTTACTATTTCCTGGTCGTTCTTTCGTCTTATGCTTCAGTCACTCCCTCCCCGAAAACCCGCCTTTTCCAAGTCCCCAGTCCAAATTCTTATCAACCCATGACGCCATACTATTGGCGTTTATTCATCCAGATTCTCAAGACCAAAAAAAAGTTGCCGCCTTCCGTTGGTTGGAGAAATTTAATTTTGGGCAGTATTTGGAATTGAAGTCAGGGTGTGACTCGTGCGCCGGGGCGTTTCTTTGTTGATGGTGAGAAGGGTGGAATTCATGCATTATTCATTCCCATCGATGTCTTTCCGGGCAGTCAATTTTACAATACTCCCTCCAATCATTTGATTCCAGGGTGTGACTTCGAGAGGCAACATATCGGGTGAAGAGTGGTGCATTTGTTGCTTCGGAAATGGCGTCCGATATCGCCTTTTTGATGGTAGGTTTTACCTATGCTAAACGTTGTAAATATACATTCATAATATAAATATTTATTATATATTATTTTTTCAGCCCCAGCGAAATGCGATCGCTGATCCAGCCCTCGCAGCTGAATGGGCGAAAAAGAAGCTCTGCTGGGTGCCAGATGAAAAAGAGGGATTCGTCCTCGGCTCAATCAAGTCAGTGAAAAACTGATCAGATTTTTATCCTAGTATAAAATTTGCTTAATAAGCTATTAATACATGGTTTTAGGTCCGAAAACGGAGACGAGTTGACGGTTGAATTGACAGATTCTGGCAAAAACTTGACAATCAGCCGCGATGATGTCCAGAAGGCCAACCCGCCCAAGTTCGATCGGGTTTGCATAAATTCACTAATTACCAGAATTATTGATTTAGGTTGACGATATGTCCGATCTCACCTACCTCAACGAAGCCTCGGTGCTCCACAATTTAAATCAACGCTATTATTCGTCACTAATTTATGTAAGCAACTAGCATCATTCTTCTAACGATTTTTTAGACGTATTCGGGTCTCTTCTGCGTCGTCATCAACCCGTACAAGAAATTGCCCATCTACTCCGAGAAGGTCATCGAGGAGTTCAAGGGCAAGAAGCGACATGAGATGCCGCCCCACATTTTCGCCATCGCCGAGTCAGCGTACAGAAAAATGTTGCAGGAGCGGGAAGATCAATCTATTCTCTGCACGTACGTACAAAAATTTTGGTGAAAATCCATTTCGTTTAGTGGAGAATCCGGTGCTGGTAAAACCGAGAACACGAAGAAGGTCATCCAATACCTCGCCCATGTCGCTGGCGCAACACGATCCAAGAATTCACAAAGCAATATGATTGCGAAGGTATTCAACTTGCCACCTTACTAAATATGAGCAGCACATACTTGAATCGCATGAAGGCGAAAAAAATCAGAAAAGCATGAACTTATTTGCATGAACGGGGGCCGCGAAGTAACCCAGAAGCGGAGGGGGTTATCCGTAATTTTCAGTACCCGTATATCAGTCTCGAGGACTCAAAGGCTATTGTAAGTTGACGACACAGTCGATGTCGTGTGTAAATGTTGAAACTGTAAAGCAACAACCCCCTGTATTGTCAATTCATGTCCACGCACCTTGGTGTCTATTTTCAAGGGCGACCCGACGGCGCTGGACGATTTGATTATGGTATAGTTATCTGCGTCTCATTTCCCCCATCCGGGGAGAGAAACGTTGGAGTGTTGCTCTAACAAGCCGCACAAACACCAACAAACACACAGAACTGTCGACGAGTGGACTAACTATCTGGGAGGGGGGATGGGGTAGAAGAGGAAGATGGAGATGGACCGTGTTTTTGGGGTGTTCCCACGAGGCTCTCGCAACGTATTTGTGCTTAGGATTGCATTGTCAATATCGTGCCTCGAATTCGAGCAAAAAAGTATTAAGCCGTGGTGGTTGTACGGTAACTAGGTGGTTAGTAATGGAATGCCAAATTAAAAGTTAACGTTCTTTTTTCGCGGATGCCTCGAAAATAAACAAAACCTAGCTAGCTAGACAAGATTCTAGATAACTTTCCGACCAAAAAAACTACTTATCTCGCTTTCTGATACCTTTGATGTCCAAAAAACAACCTTACCCTGTTTCCGCATTGTTAAACTTACCCACCGGTTGTACAAACCACCCCCTTTATGCTATCAAAAAAACGTTGTGTGAACTTTTAATAACCTAAATACCCACCAAAATCAACTATATCCATATTTTAGGGAGAACTCGAGTCCCAGCTCCTCCAAGCCAACCCCATCCTCGAAGCCTTCGGTAACTCGAAGACCGTGAAGAATGACAATTCCTCCCGATTCGTGAGCGTTTCGAATTTTCCTTGATGAACTCCGCTTAGGGTAAATTCATCCGCATCAACTTCGACATGTCCGGCTTTATCTCCGGCGCCAACATCGAGCATTATTTGCTGGAGAAGTCGAGAACACTCCGTCAAGCGCAAGACGAGCGGTCCTTCCACATCTTCTACCAATTCTTGAAGGGCACAGATCCCCAGCAGAAATGTAGGAATCAAATTAACAATTAGGAATCTAAACTTTCTTTAGCCCAATTCCTGCTCGAGGATGTTGATCGATACCGTTACCTCAACAACGGCTACATCCAGCTTCCAAACGTGGACGACTCCGTGGAGTTCCAGAACACAATCAAGAGCATGAAGATTATGGGATTTTCAGACGAAGAAGTTGCATGTAAGTCTCCATTTAAAGTATCCGCAAACCATTTTTTCAGCTGTACTTCGAGTTGTCTCCGCGGTTCTCCTCCTTGGAAACATCGAGATTAAGCAGGAGCGCAACAGCGACCAGGCCATCATGCCCGAGGACAAGGTCATCCAGAAGGCTTCTCACCTTCTTGGCGTCAATGTCACCGAGCTTCAGAAGGCTTTCCTTCGACCAAGGATCAAGGTATGTCCCATCTAATTTCACGCATCAAACTAAACAATTTCAGGTCGGCCGTGACTTCGTCCAAAAGGCGCAGAACAAGGAGGCCACCGAGTTCGCCATTGATGCCATTTCAAAGGCCTGCTATGAACGACTCTTCAAATGGCTTGTCACCCGCATCAACAAGTCTCTGGACCGAACCCGTCGGCAAGGAGCTTCTTTCATAGGGATTCTCGATATTGCTGGGTAAGCATGCCTACAATATTAACAAATATATCCCTCAAATCTCAGCACACAATTTCAATATCTGCTTTTAGCACTTTTAGCTCAATTTTTCTAGATTTGAAATCTTCGACCTGAACTCTTTCGAACAGCTGTGCATCAATTTCACCAACGAGAAGCTGCAGCAACTGTTCAACAACACTATGTTCGTCCTGGAGCAGGAGGAATATCAAAAGTAAGAAGTAACTTTTTATTTAAAATTATTGTTTAGGGAGGGAATCCAATGGGACTATGTTGATTTCGGCCTTGATCTCCAGCCAACGATTGATTTGATTGAAAAGGTATTATCGTTAGTGCCTTTAACTATTGGCCAATTATTTCAGGGTCTGGGTGTCTTGGCGCTTCTGGACGAAGAATGTGCCTTCCCGCAAGCAACCGAGAAGACGTTCGTCGACAAGCTGACGTCGAACCATCAGAAGCACCCCAAGTTCATCCTCCCCGACATGCGCGCCAAGAGCGATTTTGCGGTATGTTTTCTTACACCCTTGCTTGGCTACTGTAGCTCCACACCCACTAATCAATTCAGGGCCAGGATCGATCGGTTATGTTCGGTGTAAGTACAGTGAAGAGGAAATGCTCCCCAGTTTTTGATACTCATCACCATTTTTTATCGAGAATCCCTGAATCGGTGGCTCGGGCTCAAGCTTGCACTCCAAAACGGGGGGAGCACCGGTTAGAGCCCGGTCCATCGATTCTTGTTGCTCGCTCCAAGTCAGCACGTGTTCACTTTTTTTAAAGCTTCTCCTTTACTACTTTTAATCTTCAAACCGACTAAAATAGTTTTTCCTTAACAAAGTTTTAATTTGTAGGTGGTCCACTATGCCGGACGTGTGGACTACTCGGCCGACAAATGGTTGGTGAAGAACAAGGATCCGCTGAACGAGAACGTCGTCAACTTGATGCAAAATGCTAGCGATCCGTTCGTTGTAAATATCTGGAAGGATGGTAGGCAATTCTTAGCACCCTTAACTGTCAATTTTCAGCCGAATACACCTCGATCTATGCCAACGAGATGAACGAGACTGCCTTCGGCACGCGAGCCAAGCGCGGAATGCTCCGAACTGTTGCTCAAATGCACAAGGAAAGCCTGTCCCGCCTGATGGCCACCCTGAAGAACACATTCCCACACTTTGTCCGTTGTATCATCCCCAACCACGAGAAGAAGCCCGGCAAGATCAACTCGATGCTTGTTCTCGAACAGCTACGATGCAACGGTGTCCTTGAAGGAATCAGAATCTGCCGACAGGGATATCCCAACAGGGTTCCATTCCAAGAGTTCCGCCATCGATACGAGATTCTCACTCCTAACATCATCCCACGTGGATTCATGGATGGAAAGGAGGCCGCAAAGAGGATGATTGAAGCCCTGGAGATCGACCCAAATTTGTACCGTATCGGTCAGAGCAAGGTCTTCTTCCGCGTCGGTGTTCTGGCTACCCTTGAGGAGGAGAGGTAGAAAAACTAGCTCAAAATTACTACGACATTTTTAGGGACAACAAGTTGACCGACTTGATCGTCTCATTCCAAGCCCAATGCCGCGCATACCTGGCCCGTCGTCTCTACCAACGCCGTGTCCAACAAAGCAATGCCATTCGTGTCCTCCAACGTAACGGGCTCGCTTGGCTGAAGCTGAGGAACTGGCAGTGGTGGCGTCTCTTCACCAAGGTATTAATTTTTCAGTTGTTATTATACAGTTTTTGAGGTCAAACCTCTCCTCCAAGTCACCAACCAGGAGAAGGTCATTGATGAGAAAGACCGAGAAATCCGCGAAGCCAAAGAGCGTCTTGAAATCGTTGAACGCGAGTACGCCGAGACCCAGAAGAAATACGATCAGGTAATGTTTTCAAGAACAGATTACGAAAGCTTCTTTTTCTTCTAGGTTGCTGCGGAAGCAAAACAACTCGGCGATACCCTCGCATCTGAGGTAGACTCGCGCGCCGAACTCGAGGAAATCAACAACAGGCTGAACACGAAAAAGGTGTGTCATTTAAAAACAAACGGTCTCGCGCCCCGATCATGCATCATCCATCCTCACCCACATTATAACGAATTTCTATTGATGAAAATTTAATCCTGTTCAACTGATTTTCTTTAGGTTGAGCTGGAATACGAGCTGAACGATCTTCGCGAAAGAATGGGTGATGAAGAGACAAGGATCCTTGGACTCAGCGAAGAAAAGAAGAAGCTGGCTGAGACTGTCCGTGACCTGGAGGAACAGCTTGAGCAAGAGGAACAAGCCCGTCAGAAGATCCAACTTGATAAGGTAAGAAATGATGCATAGGATTTGCATAATACCACTTTCTTTTTTAGGCTAACGTCGATCAGCGTCTCAAGAAGCTTGATGAAAGCTACGCCGCTCTCCATGATGCCCACGAAAAGTTGACAAAAGAGAAGAGGAGCTTGGAGGAGAGAGGTCAGCAACTCGCCTCGCAGCTCCAAGAAGAAGAGGAACGTGTGAAGCACGTCGGCAAGCAACGCGGCAAGATCGAGGCCCAGGTTCAAGAGCTCGAGCAAGACGTTCTCCGTGAGCGGCAACTTCGCAACGAGATCGAAGCTGCCAGGAGGAAGATTCAGATGGATCTGGACGAACAGCGAGATGCCGTTGAAGAGAAAAATGGCAAACTTGAAGACCTGACCCAACAACTGATGCGTAAGGAAGAAGAGCTTGCCCATCTGTTGACCCGCAATGATGAAGAGTCGGCTCAAGTACAGCTCCTTCAGAAGCAAATTCGCGACCTTCAATCGACCGTCGAGGAACTGCGTGAGGACATCGAAACTGAGCGATCTGCCCGGAGCAAAGCCGAAAGTGCACGCAAAGAATTGAACGATCAATTGGAAGACCTGCGCACGCAGATGTTTGAGGCCACCGATAAGTCTCAAGCGTCGCAAGAGATCCAGAAAAAGAAGGATGAAGAGCTTCGCGCCATCAAGAAGGCGTTGGACACTGAACGTGCCCAATTCGAGAGCCATATTGCAGAACAGAAGACCAAGTATCAGCGACAAATCGAGGACCTCATCCAGGAAGCCGATTCGGCAAAGAAGGCCCGTGCACAGACGGAGCAGAAAAAAGCAGCTCTTGATACTGAACGGGCAGAGATTGCTCAGGAATTGGCTAACTTGAACGCCAGCAAGGCTGAGACTGACCGCAAGAGGAAACATGCTGAGAATGCTGTCATGGAGCTTCAGGCACAGTTGAACGAAAGCGAAGATGCTCGGCGAGCTGCTTGCGAACAGCTAGAAAGGGCGCGGGAGGAACTCGATAACGTCAACCGGCAGAAGGAGAGTGACGAGCACGTCTTCGGACAACTATCACGCAAAGTCACGACACTTGAGCAACAACTCCAAGAGATGAACGATAGCCTTCAAGAAGAAACTCGCCAGAAGCTGAGCTATCAATCGAGGGCCCGTCAACTGGAGGCCGATCTTCAGGTTCGATATAAAGTACGCTTTACACCCGACTTAAATTTAGACTTTGAACGATGAACAAGTCGACGTTGAGTCCCAGAAGGAGCAGTTGAATCAGGAAGTTATCGGACTGCGGTCACAACTTGCTGATGCTCGCAAGAAGGCTGATGAGGGTGTCATCATCCAGCTTGAGGAGCAAAAGAAGAAGGTTCGTTAAATTTTAACAAACGTTTAACTCAAATTTTAGGGACAGCGTGAGATCGAAAAGCTACAGAAGCAGTTGGCCGACAGCGAGTCCGGCAAGGAGCGAATTGTGGCGGCTAAGCGGAAGTTGCAGGAAGAGTTGGAGGATATCGTGATGGAGATGGAACAAGCAAAGTCAGCTGCTCGTGAGACCGAGAAATCCCGCAGAAAATTCGATCAACAGCTGGCTGAAGAGCGCGCCAACATCCAGAAGGTTGTTCTCGAGCGTGACTCTCATGCCCAGGAATCTCGTGACCGCGAGACCAGAATCCTTTCCTTGCAAAACGAAATGGATGACCTGAAGTCTCGTTATGATGAAGTCGATCGTGCCAGGAGGACCCTCCAGGAACAGTTGGATCGAGTCATGGGTTCCACTGATGATGCCTCAAAGCAGATGCTTGACCTCGAAAAGGCCAAACGAGCATTGGAACAGGAGTTGGCTGAACAAAAGATCACAATGGATGAGCTTGAAGATCATGCCCAGTTGGCTGAAGACGCCCGTCTTCGCCTAGAAGTTAATCTCCAAGCTGAGAGGAGCGAGAAAGAACGATTGCTTGGCCTGAAGGATCAAGAAGCCGAAGAAAAGCGACGGTCCCTGATCAAGCAAATCCGCGATCTTGAGACCGAGTTGGAGAACGAGCGCCGCGGAAAGGGATCTGCTGTTTCTAACAAGAAGAAGCTGGAGAGCCAAGTCACCGAGCTCGAACAACAACTGGAGGTCGCTAACAGGCTGAAGGAGGAGTACAACAAGCAGCTAAAGAAGAACTCCACCGTCATCAAGGAGTACCAGCGTGACTTTGAGGATGCCCGACAAGCCAAGGAGGAGATCGCAGCGCAATTGAGGGATATCGAACGCCGTTTGAGGTTGGTCATTACACTTATTAACCTAGGAACATTGATTTTCGATCATTAATAGTAAATTGTATATCTTATCTTTTAGATCCTCTGAGGCTGAAAACCAGCGTCTGCAAGAAGCCAACGAGGCTTTGGTGGCCCAAAAGCGACAGCTTGAGGCCGACAAGGATGAGTTGGAAGAACGTCTTGGCAAAGGCGGATCCATCACTTCGGATGAGAAGCGCCGCCTCGAGGCTAAGATCCAGCAACTTGAGCATGATATCGATGAGGAACAGAGCAGCTCCGAAATCGCCATGGACAAGATGAGGCGCGCCCAGCTCCAGGTGGGAAAGTTTCTCAAAGCTTCTGATTTCCTCTAGGTCGAACAGCTGACCACCGAGTTAAGCATGGAGCGATCGTTGTCGCAGCGGGCTGATGCTGAGAAGCAGCAGCTTGAGCGCCAGAACCGCGAGCTGAAGGGCAAGATTGCTGAGCTAGAGACGTCGGCTGCCTCTCGTTCTCGTGCTCAGATGGCCGCTTTGGAGACTAAGATCCAGTACCTCGAGGAGCAGAACAACACCGAGGCACAGGTAGATCAGATCGAAAGTAGCAATCGAACAACACATTTAAGGAACGAATGAACGCCATCCGAACTGTTAAACGATTGGACAAGCGATTGGCCGATGCTATTGTTCAACTGGAAGATGAACGACGGAACGTTGAGCAAAATAAGGTATCTACCATTTTGGAGATAGAGAAACACGGTCATGCTCAGGAGCAAGCTGAACGCGCCAACGCACGAGCCCGCCAGATGCGACGACAACTTGACGATATTGAGGAGGAGCTGACGCGTGAAAAGACCAAGAGCCGCAACCTCCAACGAGACATCGATGACCTCAACGAGGCCAACGACAAGTAATACCAATTTCCCAACATTTAACGATTTTCTTACCCTTTTAGGCTATATGATGATTTACGCAAAGAACGGTCGCACTATTTATTATATCCGTATAGAACATCTAGCACACTTAGGTTCAGAAAACCGCCTAGTTTTAATTTAGCCGTAACAATTGGCTAGCCTTGAAACCATTTTTTAATTAACGCTCTTGCCATCAGTTAACCAATTGCTATTTTTAGCCTGATGCGTGATATGAACCATGCCCGAAGTGGGGCCACCTCTCGCCGATTTGGACCAAGCAAACGTTTCTTGAAGGAATCCAACGACAATTTAGTTGATGAGGAGGGTAGCATCGGTGAGTCTTTCAAAAAATTAAATTATAACTTATTCGTATAGTAAATATATTTGAACAACGTAGAAGGGCAGCTAGTGTCCCAATTCTAACGCGAAATGCATTGACTAACGTCATTAGAACCAAAAATTTCACTGGCTCTTTGCACGCAGTCAATCAAATCAAGGAAGAACCGCAAAGTGGGGAAGGCGACGATAGTTCCTTGACCGGATCGGAAATAATGGGCTTTGCTCTCACACAAGTCGGAATAGGTTCCAATTGGAAAGGGGAGGTTCATAGCCAATCGGAGAAACTGGAAACCTCTTCTCTGATCCGTGAAAAACGACCGACTATCACAGAAAATACCCATTCCAACGATAGCGGGGAGGAGTTGGATGAATCTGTTCTTGATCAAGGATCCGTGAAGGCTTATGATAAAGCTGGTGCCGAAGGGGTGGACTATGATGAGCAACAATATGATGAGCATCATCGTGCTTCCGAATTTGACGAAGAATTAGAAAATGAACAAGAAGACGAACACGACATTTATATCGAAGAAAATTATGATGAAGAAGATGAGACTTCCGAAATCGGAGAAGAAATAGATGAATCAGAAAAGGCTGAAACGGAAAACCAGGAACCAATGTATGATATAGAAGAACCGGAAGAGGAAATCAGCGATGTACAAATTGTAGAAAAACTATCCACTAGGAGGTTGAGCCTCAAACCGGCCAGCTATTATGATAGTCAAGAATTCGCGGATCCTGCTCCTCCACCTATCACTAGAAGCACAAGTGTTGTTTCGCGAAGATCAAGCTCTCAACCTCACCCTTACCAAAATCAAATGAGCCTCGGTACAGATGGTAATACATTAATTAGCAAGCTACATAACACCCAGCGTATAGGCAAATTTTAAATTTTAAACCTATGCTAGCTAAATAACAATTACGCATTTAAAGCTAGTTCCTCCCAAAAAAAATTGCTAGGAGCAATTCAATAATTTAGTCTCAGGCTCTGATGCGACCGACGAGCTGAAGAAGTCCTCCTTGAACTAGATGCCGAATGATTGATTCCCTTCCCCGACGACGCACTTTTCTGCACCGGTGTATTCGTGATAAACCCCTGACTGTGTGCTTTTTATTTTTATTACCCTTTTTCAAATACGGAAAGAAACAAAAACCCCTCGCACTTTGCCATCCATCCCCCTCTCCTAATCCACTTTTCATTTGACTCCAATATCACTTTGCGCTGCCTACACTGGTAAACGTAATTATTATATATGCACAGCTTTGTCTTGCTTTTTTGACTCCCCGTTCCGCCTTTGATATTTATGCATCAAAAAAACGCCTGAAACCTTTCGCAGTCAAAATTGTGAACCATCAACATTCCCCGATTTCGGTCCTTCGTCGCCTCCCCCACACATTAGTTAACTGTGCTTTATCGTTTATTCTCTTCTGCCTTCACCAAGCTGATGTGCCTCTAATGCAATAGAGCGTAATTTGATTGTCTACGGCTTGCGTCTCGCGAAGGGATCCATTTTTGTGTGTGAAGATTTTTAATAAATATTTGCTAACAAAATTGGGGGAATAACATCGAGGCAGAAGAAAATGAAAAGAAAATATGTAAGCAAAAAACCTAAGAAAAATACAAGGCTTTGGAATAAAAATTGTAGGCTGTATGGATTCTAAATTTTCGACCTTCTTGGCGCCATTCAGCGCCCTTTGCTAGGGCATCGCGATCGTTATCTCGTCGCCAACGGCTAGATGGCGCACCAATGAATAAAACACCAAATATATAGATGAACTGCCTAATTAGCATTAATGTGAAGCTATTTCTGCAACAAATAAAACACCAAAATTGCTCATTTCTTACACCAAATAATATCAGCTGAGCTAGGACATATAAAAAAGGCAAATATGAGTGAAAAATAAAACATCGCCAAAAAAGTTAGAAAGAAGTGAACACCGAAATTACTCATTCGTCTCAGAAAATCGCATGAAGCCACGTAACTACCACACCCATCACCTCGCAAAAACCTGCAACGTCACTGACCACCCTCACCATTAATTCCCTGGCATGCCCTCCTGCTCCATTCCCTAATGAGCAACAAAAAAAGAGGCACATCTTCGGACGGGTTGACCTCGGCGTTGCCCTCTCGCTTCGTCATCAGGACATTTGTGCCAAACTTTTGCGGGAATGGACTGCGGACGGCTTTTCTTCCACTTGAGATACATCAAGTTCAATGGCACTCCAGAGTATCGAAACCCTTGGGCTTCCCTGAAAGCCTTGTCACCCCCCGAGGTGGCTGTCTTTTTCCGCCTTTCCGCTACAACCATCTAATTGTCCTGTTTCCGCTTGTTGCCCCCATTCCTTTTTGGCTTTGACGGTGCGCCAAGTTCATATGGCCTCCGGGTGTGTATAAAGGTGGCCTGGTGGGAAGGATACTTCAGAGGCATCTCTCCTGCAGAAATGGTGGGTTTGGCATTGGTTTTCAGGATATTTTGTGTTTTCTAGAAATTCTTGGTTGTTGTCGCTCTCCTGGCCGCCCCGGCTTTTGCTTGCCTTGGAGGAGGAGGTGGAGGTTGCTGCCCTCCCCCACCACCGTAAGTTTTTCATCTGAATCTTGACATATTTTCATAATATTTTTAAAGTCTATTAAAGATGTTATGAGTGCAGAATCCTCGAAATTTGAAAAAAATTTGGCATGCTTTTTCGGTTAGCGAGCTTGGCCAGATAAAAACTTAGCCCCTTTTCTTTTCATATTTATTTACATTTATCTCCTCTTCCAAACAAATATTTTAAAACAATATTTCAGATGCGGAGGCTCTGCCTGCCCACCACCACCCCCATGCGGAGGCTGCGGAGGAGGAATCTCTGGTATTTACGTTCTTTCTAACTAGGATACCATATTTCCAGCTGGCCCAGCCCCTAGCTACGCTGCCGCTCCCGCCGGATACGCTGCTCCTCCTTCTGGAGGATACGCCGGCCCAGCTCTGCCACCTCCTCCGCCACCTCCCCCGTCCGGTGGATACCAGGCCGGCCCCCAGGGATACGCCGGATAAGCGCTCCCGCCCTGCCGATAACACCCCCATAGCCATGTAAATTATTTTCGGTTCTTGGTGAATAAAGTTTTTATTTGAATTGCTGAGAAAATAAAACTATAACAAGCGTTAGAAAGGTTAAGAGAATTTTGAATGCATTTTGACAAAGCAGCGTGACGTTTTTAGCTAATAATATACCTTGCTATGTAATGTAGTTAGTTCTATAGAGTTTCAAATCCTTAATAAAGCTCGTATTTCAAAAGTGTCGGATCTGTGATGGCCCTGGAGAAACATTTTCTCAATGCGCGTCAAACATAGGCAAGATTTGCCTTTCAGATCCGATTTTTTCGAAGACTATTAATGTTTAGAATTTTTACAATCGACATTTTGCTCAAAATTTTTAGCTTTATTTAATCATCATTCGGGGAAAGAACGCCTTTTAACGTTCGTATACCTTTAGAAACTTACCAGGTCATTAATGTTTAGAATTTGCACAATAGCAATTTTGCTGAGAATTTCCGATTGAATGTGCCCTCTCAGCATGCAAGACGCCACTTTTACGACTCATATTTCGCAGGAGCGCGCTGTATGGGTCTCCCATCTGAGCCTGCTTTCCAACCGTAAAAATGCAAATTTTTCCAAATTTGTCTATTCTGCTGTGTGCGCTCCTTTAATAGGCATCCTCGACTACAGTAGGGACCACCAAGACTCTACGACACTGCCGTCGATAACAGGCTATCTCGGCATACCTGTTCGGCCAGTATTTTTTTGGACGAACATAGTACATACCAACAAGGAACCAGCCGATTTCGTAAGGTACCCCATAGGCATCGTCAACCCCCCTCGTCATCATTGCTGCAGCAGCCGGTTCCCGGCTTTTGCCATCGCCTCCCCAAGCTTTCTCCGATTTTCCCTTCAGCACCTCCAGCGCCTCCCGCAACTACACGAATCCCTGATTAGAGGTGCTGGCCGGCACGATTCATCGCGCTTTTTGCTTTTGACTAAAGGCCTCTTCCCCTTAAGTTCCCTAGGGCTGATGTTGCGCCATGTGGCACGCGATTTATAGCTTCGTCTACCTCGGTAAAACTCGTGGCATGTGTGACTGGCCCAGGAATGGGGGGAGATGCTATTTATACCGTTAACTCGGCGCAATGTTGGTGGGATTGCTTTCTGCAAAATTGCAACAATGTGGCAGCTTTGCGTGATAGAAAATTCCACAAAAAGCGGAGGATTTGATTAAGTATGAGTTGGAAGCTGCGAGTGAGTGTGGCACGCGATTGGTTTCGTTAAATTAGGTATTCAGTTGAAGATCAGGGCTTTGGTTCAACAAGAATAAATTGATTTTTATTTAAATTATATGCTGGTTTTAAGCGGACCTTAAAATGACAAGGAAGGCCCGGCCAAATTAAATACATATCTGGTCTAACTCCCAAATTAGTATAAATCGTCCCCTCTCCCTCCCGTATGTGCGCACTCTCTACCCCACTATTTTGAATTAGCATTTCCGATTGGCCACTTGCCAATTCTAGATGATCCCTGATATACGTGGGCCTTCTTGACCCTTTAAAGCGCTTTGCAAGCAATTTTTAACTTTTCCAGCCACATCGGTCTCGATTTTTTGAGTCCATAAATGGATGCAGTCTATTCCTACCAAAAGAAACCCGACCCGCTACCCTTGAATTGCCATCGACACGCCCCGAAATATTGACCCTTCCACCTAATCTCCCCACCTACATGCTTGAATTCCTAGCGATCATGATATGGCAACGTAAACCGCGCGGCTTGGGTAAATAGACCAAAGCAACACCCACCCTCCTATACTGTGCTCGCTCACGACTTTCACTAGGAAATCGTCGGCGGGCGTCCCCCTGGGGCCGTCCAGATAAAATCTCACATTTCACCCTCCCGCCTTCGGCCATACGGCGCACACCCACGAACTCTCCGCACACTAGCGCCCGGTTTCCAATTCCAAATGGGTGCTCTGGGTTTAACACAGCCGTTCGGCTGGCTTTTCGAGCTTTGTAAAAGCTGGTGGGGAAAGGGCTACGAGAGTGAGCTAGAAAGGCTGGAAGCGCTTTGTAAAAGCTCGCATACCTGGATGGAGGTCTAAAGCATGGCCACTTCACACAACATAAATCTCACCCAAAAATCATCAGTCTTTGCTTTTGCTTCCTTTAAAGGGCTTTTATGGAGGTGAGCAGATGCCCCTATGAACATCTACGCTTCTCTTTCGTGCAGGCAGGCGAATAGATCCAGAATCACGCTACGTGGGCGCTTATTTACGTTTATGTCTCTTTCTGACTCACGCACTCACTAACTCTCCCTCTCTTTATCTCTCTCTCACTCTCTCTTTCTCGCTCTGTCTCTCCACATTATTATCTCTGCATAAACACGCGACGCGTTCACTCAGCCAGTACCACTTTCTAACCCATATCTTCTAAAACCAGATCGATTACCCTCCATTTCTCATTCAGACCTTCAATGCTATATTCCCATGAATCAGCATGTTCAATCTCGATTCAAAAAGCCGTCTCCCTTTCAGAATTCACCCCATTGTCCGTCCTGATGCCTCAACATCCCATTCAGATTTTCGTTTCCGGGAGACGGCATCTACGTTTTTCCTGGTGAAGGCCGTTGCGGTGCTCGGCCCTCCGCTCACATATGTTCTCCATTATCTTGCCCGCGGGATTGCTTTGTTTTTGGTGGAGAAGGGGGGTGCTGTCTTCGGGGCGGCTGCTTGGAATGTTTATTCATGAGTGCCGTCTCGGGGGGTTGAGCCGTCAAGCGTTTGCAGCTGAAGCATTTTGCAGGGAACGGTCTTCTTTTCGTTTGGTTGCTTAGGATTAGGTGAACTGTTCCAGCTCTCGTCATTTCTCCATTTTTCTTCTTCAAAAAATATCTTGCTTCTGGGGTGACTTAAAGGGGATAGGACACTTGGATCATCGCTCGACCTTGAAGCGCATGAACTTCCAAATTCTGACACTATTTCGGGGACTCCCAAGCCATTTTAG